ACCTAGCAGAATTGGACAATCCGATCCTACAAAATTCTTAAAGACAAATAACATGTCTAACCTAACTAATTAAATTGGAAAATTGTGAAGGCAAAGCATTTAGTTCTTCAACAATTGTATGGACTTCCTAGTTGATCCCTAAACTAAAAAAATCCATGACTTAATCACGAAATTTTTCAAATTTGACCTCTCTTGGTCCTTCCATTAAAAAATTACATACGTGTCCTGTTACTAGACGAGAGAACAATCAAGACCTCAAAACATTAATACACATGGGATTGATAGTATGACAAAAAGAATGACATTGCCAAAAAAAAATAAAAAATAAAAAATTCCCTTTTCCTCTCTTTTTTTTTTCCTTCCTCTTTCCCTTTCTCTTTCCTCTTCCTTTCCTTTGCCTTTTGCAAACCCTAACTCCTCTATCTGCAATTGCCAAAAATACCTCCTTCTTGTTGCTATAAATTTGAGCACAATCAATATGGCAGTTTCCAACTTACAGCCAAGGTTCAATGCTAAGATAAAAAGGATGAAATCAAGCACATCATATCAAAAAACCATTGTTTTGAAACCCGGTCTTGTTTGATCGATTTAACTGGTTGAATCACACTTGCTTCTAAAAACAAGCTAGATGATAATAATAACTCATTTGAAGTCAAACTCAGTCAAAATCTATCCAAACCTAGTCAAACTTGCTCAGATTCGGTCGAATTTGGTCAACTTAGTTAACCTAACTAATTCAACTTCTTTTTTTTTTTTTTTTACATTTTCACTTTTTTTCATTTTTCTTTAATTTTTATGTTTCTATTTACTTAATTAATAGATAATATAATAATTAAAATTTCAAATATATTTAAAATCAAATTACAATTAATGAATGAAAGATTTTAAATTAATTTAAATGTATATAATAAATTACAATATGAATATAAAATTTTAAAATAAACAATAATATTCTAACACATTCAAATCAGATTACTGGTGTCATGAATACCTCTAGTGACAGGTTTTAGTTTAATTACGGCCGGAAATTTTACATTATAGAAGCCTCATGTTTAGATTTTGAAATGAATTAGCGTATAATTAAGTGGTAGAACAGAGAAAAAAAAAATGAAATTTATATATGCATGTCATTATTGTCTCCTTAAATTTTTAGCTTTAAGTTAGATTAAGAGGATATATATACACATCTATATAAAAGGTGAAAAATA